TCTCTGTCGCACCAAGACATAATCAGTGAGGTGCCAATGCTTAGATCTAGGATGCATCCAGGTTGTCTTCAGGCTATTTTTCTGCTGAAAGATAGTGTTAGTGATGGTGAGCTGTTGCTCCACACAGAATTCTAGCACAAGGCATCCATTATCTTTGCAGTTTCCAACACCATGCTTGCCTAATACTCCTTTCCAGGCTTCAGAGTTCTTTCCTACTCTGGTGTTGAAATCACCAAGGATAACAATCTTATCATTTGTGGGAATCTTTTGGGTAAGACGGCGCAGGTCAGTGTAAAATTTATCTTTTTCAGCAGGGTCAACTTGGAGAGTTGGGGCATATATACTAAAGAGGACAGCGTGGTGTTTGTTGTGTAGTGGAAGGCGTAGGAAGATAATGTGATCAGAATGACCTGTCGGCAGATTTTCAAGTTTAGGGACAATAGAGTTTTTAATCATGAAGCCAACTCCTGAGAGATGCCTTTCGGTTCTGGGTTTACCTGACCAAAAGAGTGTATAACCGGCACCATGTTCTCTAAGGCTGCCTTTCTTCACTGAGAGCAGCAGTGTCGATGTTGAGACGTGATAGTTCGTGGGCAATTAGTGCAGAACGGCGCTCAGGACGTCCACTGTCTGCATTATCAAGCACGGTTCTGATGTTCCAACATGCGAGTGTCAATTTGAGTACACCTTTGAAGGCAGGTGTATGCCTTTGTTTCTTAGACTTTGTTTGACCGCATCAGAAGATGCCCGTTGGCCACAGTTAACCAACTTGGTGAAGGGTGGAGATGAGCTTTGGTTAGGCCACCTTTTTTAGGCCCCTCTCCGAGTGGAGCAAGCAGTACTGTCCTCAAAAAAGGCTACTTGGTCATTCAGGATGCTGCCCAAAGAGACTGTCATCTGGGGTCAGTCTCAGGCGACCAATGTCCTGAACCACCTGCATGCAGGGTTGGGTCTGCGGCTTCCAGTGCACCTTTCACCTGCCGTTTCAACCCTCATCTGTCGCTACAGGGCTTTACAAATGCGGATATCACCCACGAGCCTGCACAATGGATTTTTTAGGTGAGACGCAGCATGCACAGAACTGGACCCATCCTTTAATCCTAAGGTTCATCTGCCAGGGCCTAGCAAGCTTGGACGCTGACAGAGAGGTCTTTAGGACATAGGTTTAATTAGAGTGTCCTTCTCTAAGATGGATGGCCTTACATGGCTAAGTGAGCTCCATCTACCCGGGTTTGGAATTAGAGTTGTCCTTCTCCTAGATGGATATTGTGCTTAACTGTCATCTGGAGACAAGGGTGTGGTTGAGGTAGTATTGTTGCATAATTGTAGTTTTATTTGAGGCATTATTGATATAAAATGTTCTTGAATTTACATACACACACACATCTTTACACTCAAAGAGGCGGCTGCCACACTCACACTTCATGCACACGTTTTAAATTTTTATTCTGACTGTGTGTTCCTTCTTCATCATTTGCAATTTCTGGTGGTTGTTCCTGTTGTGAAGAAGAATTAATGTAAGGCCTGACACACCTAGAGGGGATCCATCTTAACTGGGTACCCATGGATACGCATGTATATCCTCTCCCACTTTTTTGCTTTTGTAACATGGCTCTTGAAATTGACCTGTCAAAAGACAGGGAGAGAGAAAGAGAAAAACACATGGCCCTGGCGATGGGGGCTTGAGTGGTTGGGGAAACAGCAACGTGTAAACTGGAAGCTCAGAGTGCGAAATGCTATGATGAAAAGGAGAGAGATACTGCCTGGAAAGTGTGTAAAGAAGATAGGAAAGGGAACAAACATGCAGGATAGTTAGCTGGCAAGATGGATCTCAGGGAAGAGATCAGAAGCATCACACTTGGGACCCTTACTACCCCTCCATCCCCCAAATCTCTTCTTCTCATCCTCCCAGTTGTGAAGGGAGATCCAATTAGTTTGATTTAGACCAAATCTTCGCACTGCCCCGGAGCCCTTTGGCTTTGGAAGTTTTCTTGCTCGCCTGGTACTGGTTGGCTCCCTGAGCTCCGTTAGGTGCTCTTCCGGGTCTTGGGATATTGCTGCTGCAGCAGCTGCTGTTGTCTTGGCTCCTCTCTCCAGATGTCCCTCTCAATGCTGTTGTGAGCAGGAAGAGGATTGGGGGGAGAGGCTCCCAAATCTTGCAGCGCTGGTTCTGTGGCACATCCCCGTGTCCCTGTCCCATGTAGAGGGAGGGTTGTTGGGAACAGCTGGGGGCTGCTGCTCTTTCAGAACTTCTGTTCTAGCACCAGAGGCTGTGGGCACCCCCACACAACCACCTATCCTCATTAAGAGAGGACATGACTGATTCCCTTCCTGTGTCCTCCGTAAACTCACTGCCTTCCGGATCATCATACTCTTCATATGCTTCTTCAGGCAGGACACGTTAGGACATGTCAACAGGAGCAGACTCGTGTTTCCTCAGCAACCTCACAGCAAGAGTGTAACGGCTGCTCCTCCGTAACAGCCATGCAACATGAACAAAGTCAAGCGGCATGCCATCTCCTTCCCCTTCTCCTTCCTCCTTTGGTCCTGAGGGCCCTCCCGCACTCCCACATTTGCACCTAGTCTCTAGGGGAACCCTAGGGGGAGCAGGGGCAGCAGGAGGAACAGGGGGAACAGGACCTGTTGCCGCAGCAGGGGCTAATCTCCTTTGTGCCATTTTGAAAGTATCCACCATTTCCCTCCATGTGGCTAAGTTCCCAAATGCCTCTAGGTCTCCAGAAATCACTCTCTTGTAAAGTCTCCTGCCAATTTTTGCCAAGTAGTCATTTAAAGGGTTCCGGCCAGCGGAAATCCCAATACAGTCACAGCAATCCATATTAAAAGTGCCAGCAATTTAGCTTCCGTAATTTCTTTTTTCTGTCTTTTTTTTTTTTTTAATTAAAAAACTGGCATAAAGCTTCAGCATTCTGTTTCATCTCTCGGGAAATTACCTCCTCCCTTCCCTGGCTGCTCACCTCTGAACTGAATGCTGAATTTTCTTCTTTTTTCCTATAGTCCTATAACTTCAGAGGTGATTGGCATGCGCAGTGTCCTCGAGGAGCTCCTCCTTTCCTTTCAGTTCAGCCAGGGACTGCCACCAGTAGATGTCCCAGCGACCTAATGCTCTGGTTCCCGACATCTCTCTTAAAGTCCCTGTTCAGGTGCCATTTGTGGCAGTTAGGCACGGACTCACCAGATTGAGTGCAAGCTGGCAAATAATTTATTAACAGTCAAGCACACGGTTTTATACTCCTCGATTACATAAGAGGTTACATAACCATAGAGCACGTGCTGTTTCCCCAACAATCATTCTCCAGTCCTTCCAGTGGGCATGTGCAGTCGAGCACTCTCTTTGGGGGCCTGCTGCAGAGACTACATTTCCCATCCTTCCTTGCGATAATCTTCCTGTGAGGTGTTAACCCTTTCCCATAAAGTCCAACCCTTGATCCACTACTGCCATGGTTACCAGACCAAGGCACTGATGCCACATCCAGTCTCATCATAAAAACCTCCAGGATGGAGAATCCACCACTTCCCTGGGCAGCCCATTCCAATGGCTGATTACTCTCTCTATAAAAAATTTCTTCCCAATATCCAACCTAAACCTCCCCTGGCACAGCTTAAGACCATGCCCTCTTGTCTTACTGATAGTTGCCTGGGGGAAGAGACCAACCCCCACCTGGCACAACCTCCTTTCAGGGAATTGTAGAGAGTGATGAGGTCTCCCCTGAGCCTCCTCTTCTCCAGGCTGAACAATCCCAGCTCCCTCAGCCTCTCCTCACAGGACCTGTGCTCCAGTCCTTTCACCAGCCTTGTTGCTCTTCCCTGGAACTGCTCCAGCACCTCTATATCCTTCCTGAACTGAGGGGCCCAGAACGACACAGCACTACAGGTGAGGCCTCACCAGGGCTGAGTACAGGGGAAGAATCACTTCCCTGGTCCTGTTGGCCACACTGTTCCTGATACAGGCCACGATACCATTGGCCTTCTTGGCCACCTAGGCACACTGCTGGCTCATGTTCAGCTTCCTGTCCATCCAAACTCCCAGGTCCCTTTCTGCCTGGCTGCTCTCCAGTCACTCTGTCCCCAGCCTGTAGCGCTGCAGGGGGTTGTTGTGGCCAAAGTGCAGGACCCGGCACTTGGCCTGGTTGTACCTCATCCTGTTGGAATCAGACCATCTCTCCAGTCTGTCCAGGTCCCTCTGAAGAGCCCTCCTGCCTTCCAGCAGATCAACACAGACCCTGAACTTGGTGTCATCTGCAAATTTGCTAATAATACACACAATTCCCTCATCCAGATCATCAATAAGGATATTAAACAGAACTGGGCCCAACACTGATCCCTGGGGGACACCACTAGTGACCGGCCACCAACTGGATGCATGATTTCAAATAAGCCTGAAGGCAGCCAGAAGCTACAAGATCCCTCATTGCCTCCCTGTTGTGGGAACCCCTGAGCGACGGTGAGTCAATGGTGTTGAGTCCCATCAGCAAGGAGAACCCCATGGTTTGTCTCACATTGATTTGCAAAGCTGACCATTGAAACAGCATTTGCCTTTTCTGTTGGACAGGATCTTACCAGGGGCCACTGGTAAGAGATCCTACAGCCTTAGAAACCCCTGATGCTGTTTTCTATACTGTAAGTTTTCAGGTTAGAACTGCACTTTAATCCATTCACTGCTGGTTTTCAGTTACACCTGATGTTTCCACTACTTTTCTATGCTATTCTGTCTTCCTAGATGTGCTGGAAATGCATGATAGCACCCAACACATTTTGTGCCTAAACAGGGAAATCAAAGTCACTGTCTTCAAATAAGCATTCAAACAGCAACATCTTTAATTTATGAAACCATCACATAATTACACAAGACAAACCTACCTCACAGGGATGTTGTGAGGCTTTCATAAGTATTTGTATGGCTTTCAGAAAAATGAAGCCACCCTGTAAGTGCTTAATAGTATTTTAATAAATACTTAAATATTTTTGTCCAGAGTGATTGGGTTTTTGAAGATGCTTTGGGGAGCATGTGCACAAGGATGTATGGCAAGAGCAAGGCACAGGCTGGATTGTTTGAGGTTTTTTAATGCAGTGGGGAATCTGTCTCTGGGAAGTGATGGGTGGCAGTGCTTTTAGCTAGCCCATCTTGAGCTACTCTGAAGTTCCCAGTTTAGTTCCCACGGACCAAAAGACTGAGCTGTGTGACAGCTGTTCTACTTCTGTCCCGTGGTCACTGTACAAAGTCTCTACCCCAGCTCAAGCACGTTTTGCTGGCTTCCAGCAAAACTAGGGTCGACTCTCAAATACAGTTGCTGCATTGCCTGCCAGCCACCCTCTGCCACCCCCAAATGAGAAAAAAATTCTCTGATGCATCCTTTCAAGCTGATGTGTGTCTTGAGACAGGTGAAGATCTGCTGTAGCTGCTCTATTAATATAAAGTCAGCTCTAATGAGGAAGCACCTACCACCCAAACCCACCCCATGCCACTGGGTTGGTTATGCATTAGTTATCTTTTTAGCAGGGAGATGGGAATAATCATTAAAGGCAGTAAATGTAATTTTTTGGAATTCTGTGCAGATGTTCTGTCACATCCTACTCTTGGAGATTTCTGTGTTGTTTATTCATGGCACCCAGCCCTGGGACTGCAGTTATGTGCTTGACATACATACCATATGTGCTTAAGCACTTTCTAGAAAAGTTAAGACTGTTGTCACCGCCCCCCAGGAACAAAGAGCTTATGGTGGTGTTTTACTTTTAATCCAATGATATCTCAAATGTGTAAGGCTGTTGCACTTCCTCATTCAGATAGAGGTGGCAGAATTCCTGTAACAGCAGGGCAACCTCTTCTCATATTTCTCGTGCATTCAGAGTGGAAAAAGAATGTGTTTGGGGGGGGGGGTGAGTTTTTGGTGATGCTGCCACAGAAGTTATCTGAATTCTTTCATATGGTGGTAGCTGGTGATAGTTCAAGTCTAGCCTGTCAGTAACACACTGGTTCTGTGATGCCAGCGTGTTTCAGCAGAGCTGTGGCAGGATTCAGGAGACCCTGTAGTTTAGTTTACTAATTTTTTGATGCTTCCTGAATGTTCAGATCAAAAAAACCACAAAAAACCAAGCATGGGGAAAAAAAAAGTTCATGTTTCTATTTTAGACTGTCCTTGCTCTTCTCTTGTCTGTGCTCTGCCAAACTATCCTTTGGTAGGGTAGTATCTACCTCTTACCAAAGAATATTCTTGACCAAAGTTCTATGTTAATAAACTTAATCACATTTTTTCTGCCATTATTGACTCCTGTATTTTGATCTGTATGAATATATAGGTATCTGGAGTCTTGCAGCTCTACTTTGCTTTTCTTCAGAATGTGATGATTGCATTTGGGTTTGGGTTTTTTTGGTAGATTTTTAAACAGGGAGATTGAATAATTTCTTCAGGTCACAGTCAGGTCTAACCCTACCCAGGTCTGCCCAATATCTCAGAGACCGAGTTTGTCTGGTTAAGCAGAGTGGATTTACTGAAGACTAGTCCCTCATCTGCATGTTGGACAAATGGTGTGCTCCTCCTGTGTGTCATCGAAGCACGTGGTCGTCACAGCTTGGAAGTCTCCACACCTCTCTGTTCTTTCTTATTTTCAGTTTCCTCATCAGCTTGGTTGTGAAAGTCAATGAAGAGTTTGTACATTAAAACACCAATAAGACTTCCCAGAACTGGAGCTGTGACTGGTACCCACCACCAGTTATGTCCAGCCCTAAAAAGAAACACAGAAAAGGCAGCTGGTGAGCCAGGCTACAACATCTTACCCTGCCGCATCATTGTGCAGCAGGAGTGAGCTGAGTCTGCTGGGGCAGGGGTGAGCTGTGTGAGCAGAGGTGCCTGTCCCACTTTATGTACTGGGCTCTACAACTGGCTTAGACAAATTCGCTCTCCACCACCTGATTGCTGGAGGGAAGGTCATTTTCCCCATCAGCATGAAAATGTGGCTCCACAGTCTGCAGGTTTCTTGTTATCCCAAAGAAATAGTCTATGTGATTTTGATGAGTGTGACTCTCAGACACAGGCACCAACATTTTCACTCCCCTTTTCCAATAACATCTGCACCTCTTCTACCAACCTCTCAAATACATTTTCAGGGAATTGAAGGAAAATGGGCATCTGGGATAGGAGACTGCAGTGATGACCGAACTATAGGAAAAGCATAGCATGGCACCATCTTTCTAGATAGAGGAAGGTAGGATTTCATCTCCAGATTCAGACATCTAAATGTAGGAGAGCTATTCAGCAATCCAGCTTTCAGGTGAGCTGAATGCATTCTGGCTCTCTGGTCACTGCAATAACCAGCTAGATCTCCAGTGAACAGGTCACCAGTTTGATGCCCAAACTGAGGTATCAGGGTGTCAGGGTGAATCTCATGCAGGAGAATTAGTGTACCCCAAATTTGGTGTACAGAGTAGAGTGCCCAGGGCTCCTCTAGGCACAACCCTTGCTCTCTGAGAATGGAGAACACACTCTGCAGTGACACCATCACTTGGCCCAAAGAAAAAGGCCTCGGGACTGTTTTGTTGTGGGCTTATCTCCTTTCCTTGCAAGCTGGGCAGTGTAAAAGCAGAATAGGTTACTCACGTGAAGACTTCTGTTCCCCAGCCAGCAATTGCTGTGAAGACCCTGGGGGGCAGGTCCCGGGAAGGGTTTATGGCATAGCCTGTGTTCATCCCCATTCCCAGGCCGATGCCCAGGACCAGGATACCGGTGATCAGGGGCTGAGTGCCTTTCAGGGCTGCATTGTTTTTCTCATCATGGATGACCTGTACGCCCAGGACCAGCATAACTGTCGCTGTGAACTGCAGGAGCAGAAGAGGGAGAACAGGTCACAGGACAGAATGGAAAAGGTGGAAGGATTCTGCTCAGCAGAGGGGAAGAGGCTTCCCAGAATCAAAGAGGAGGTAAGATTCACAGTCTGATCAAGGCAGGGAGGACCCAAATGTTACTCTTGCCTCACAGGTGGACCAAAGAAAATTCTAGACTCATTTCTCAACAAAAATGTGTTCACCTCTGCCAGAAGTGCTCTAAGACTGACACAAACTTCTCAGCAACAAATTCTCCCCCTCCGCTTCTTAAGTCAGGGAAATGGGTTATTTTAAGTACATGTTGTCTAACAGAAGCAGAGCCATAGCAAACAGCTAACAAGACAAATCTGATCCTCTCTAGAGGGAGTGATGGTTTTACTACGGCCTGTTGCTTTAGCCCTTCCTGGATGCGGATACCAGATTCTCATCTGAGAAGCTGAATGTCCCATCAGTGACAGTACACAGGTGGCATTTGTAGATCTGCAGTGCCGAGGACATCAAGAACCACAGTTTGTATAGAGGTGATGACTCCTGTTTCTTTCTGCTTCAGCAAATGCAGCTGGAGAGCCTTGGTCTGCTTGCAGAGATGCCAACAAAAGCAGAAACTGCAGCTCTTAGCAATGTACTGTCACTGTCATTTGCTTTCTTGTGCAGCAAGGACACGGCCTGATGCACAGGAGGCTGAGTGATCAGCTCCCCACCTGTAGGCTCTTCCCACTCTCACCACCTTCCTCATCATGCCAAGTCAGGAGTTTTGTCAGCTCAGAAAAAAAATCATTGGCTTCCTAAGATATTCACTGGAAGTGAATCTTCCCTCTCTGGTATCTCAGTGCTTCACACATCCCTTTCCTATTTCTGGGCATCTGAGCATTGTGCTGTGCGCTGAGAATCAACTGTACACAGCCTCAATTGGACTATTCAAACTGTAGAGTTTCAGTCCAGGCTCCACTCTTGTGAAGACAGTCCCAGGCTCTCTTCACTGGGCAGGAGCAGCCAGCACAGCTGCTTAGGGTTATGGAGTGGGTGTAGAATCCAAAAAGGGCAAGAACAGTTCAGGGAACTGCCCAGAACCCAAAGGAGATGGTTGCTGATACAGGTCAGCTTCTCATTTCCCATTGCTTGTGCTACACGAAGGGAGAGTGACTGGAGGGCACTTGGACCAAGCTGCAGAGCCTCCTGCAGGCATTACCCTGAGGGTACCCTGTAGCAGACCTATTACTTCCCACCTTCTAGCTCACCACAGCCATTCCTACTGACCTCTGTAAAGAAGGCCCCCAGCAAGGATACACTGGGAGCGGGGTAAGTGGCAAAGATCGGTGCAGTGGCAATTGGTCCTGTCACTGTGAAGTTCCCTTTGGTGTAGTCATACAGAGCATCTAGGAGAAGTGGGAGATATGGAACTTAGCACAGAGTTCATCCCACAAGTCACATACACATGTGCACCCATTACAGCCAGCACAGACACCAAGGAGAAGAGAGGCAATGGAAGATATGATGGAGGTGACACACTCCTCGCAGGGTGTGGTCTCACTAATACCTGTTGCCCACAGACTTCGGTCTGCAATTTCTTCCTTATGCCCCCTATTCCTACTCCAGCAGTCTGGATGCACTGGAGGCCTCCAACCCTGAGACTGAGACATGCTGGAAACAACAGCTGGCAGGTCGTCTGCTCACAATTCAAAACCCCCAGTGTCTGTGATCCCTGTTTTCCACAGACCGGCAGAGTCCCCCAGAGCTCCAGCTCTACCTAATACACAGTAGTTCATGTAACTCAAGCCCCTGCAGACCTGGAAACAAAATGCTGACAAAATGCAGCTGCTGCACTTCAGCTGAGGATGGGTTTTGAAAGTGGGAATGCCCTGAGCAAAAGGAGCTATGTTATCCAGGAACTGCATATCCTTCCCAGAGGTATCTGGGACCTGCTCTGACCGTGAGCTATGAAGTATGTCTCACAGGCCTTGCCCTCCTCAGAAATTATGCTGTGGACTCCAAAAGGACATATTTTTGATAATGTGAGTTGAATGAAGTGATGCCTACAGCAACTTCTGTGATAAAAGACACAACAGTACCATAGTAGAGGCCAAAGACGGTGGCTGCTGCCATAAAGGAGCCCAGGAACTGGCCGGTCAGATAAGCTATGAGCTTTTTCCAGTTGAGGTTTCCTAAAATGTACTCCATAATGGTGATGGCAGCATTCAGATGACCTCCTGCAAAATCACAGAAAAAGAAAGCGGCCTCAGCCCTGATGTAGCTGATTTAGGGCATGTGACTGGGCACATGCCCCATTCCTGGAAACATTCAAGGCCAGGTTGGATAGGGCTCGGAGCAATCTGCTCTGGTTGAAGATGTCCCTGCTCACTGCTGGGCGGTAGGACAACACGACCTTTAAAAGTCTTTTCCAACCTAAACCCTTCAATGGTTCTATGCCCCATGCCACACAGTGGTTACCCAGACCTTGTTCCAGAACACCAAGACTCTCTCAGGGCAGGGTCTTACTCCTGCACAGACACAAAACTGACCCATTCTCCCTGCTCAGCTGAATCATACAGGTCAAAGAGCTACTAGCTTTAGTCTTCTAAAACTTATGTAGACCACAGGCTGCCTCCGGAGAGTGGATCGTCTTGCCAGTCAGATATACCTTTCTCAGCATGGCATGAGTTTCTCTGTGAGTTTCTCAGTGGGCTGCTCTGTATTGAGCTTAAATAGAGCCCAGACTTAGCCACTTTTTAAACAGCTACAGGTAGATGAGGCAAATCTTAGCCCAGACAATCACGGGGCCTTCTGGAAACATCAAATAGACAAGAAGGGCCTCATCCAGGCAAAGCTGAGTACCCCAGCTGATGGGAGCTGTGGGCCCTTAGCATACCTGGCAGTCAAGGCATGAAAGGAAACTGCAGAATCAGCCACTGATGACCCATATCTTTGTGACTGCATAGCAAATCCTACACAGGGCTGTCAGGAGGGACTCAGGTGAGCTCTTGGACATCACTACATTGAGAAGGGGTTGCCAGAATGTTCAACCATGCCCAGACCATGGTTGCTCCCAGTAGTTTGAAGCAGACCCTGTCCTTCCCTTGCAGAGTTTGTAATCTTGGACTGCATTTCCCGATATCTTTTAGTATGTGGCTTTCATACAGTGCAAGACCATTTTTCCCTGTTTTGATGGGACACTTTCTGTGGAGGAGCTTGGTACTTTTGGAGAAGGACTACATGAATCCAGGTTTGGTGCCCTTGGTGTGTTCTCCAGGCCCCATGTCCCCATATTTCTAAAGGAAATATTTGTTTTTCCTGCCCCGTAGGTATAAACTTTAGGGGTTAATAAATGTTCCAACCTTCATGGCCATCTCCTACTCCAGACTCTAGAAGGGTTAAGATGCAGACACCCATTGTCTCATCAAAGTGTAGGATAAAGTGAAGTAAAAGTGCATGTATCACCTTGCTACAGTCCAACAATCACAAATGGAATGGGAGTAGATCCCTTTTTCTTTGATCCTCTGCTCCTTTGTGGGTATGACCAGCCATTTCAGAGATCACAAGAAGCATCTTGTGACACATTGAAGCCAAATTACTATGACAGGAAGCCCTGAAGTTTGCTCCATAACCAGACTGTTGCTGGCTGAGCTGAGATCCCTTCACTCTGCCCTCTGCCCTCAGCAGAGCAGCTCCTTCTCAAAAGTCACTTGGGACTGCCGAGACCTACTTTCCTCAGCCCACTTTTCCCAGGATTTTTCCACCAGCTCCAAAAGTCAAGGAAACCAAGCACTGACTACTCGCGTGGAAAATTTTTCCAAACCAGCCCCAAGCTTGGACCTCTCTCTCTGTTCCAAAAGTTCAAGAGCAAAGAGGTGCTTTAATTTTTTGCCCATTAGAGCCATTAATCTCATCTCTTGGTGCAAATGAATGCAGAAATAGCACAAGGCAAAGGTAATGCTCTGCCGTGAGGGATGGCACCCCATGGCCCTGAACCACCACCTCGTGCGGGTTATGTGTGCATGGATGTGGATGGTAAGGAGAAGATTTGCATACCATTCCTTGTTGCAACATCAGCAGTAAGCTCTCCTTTGCAATGAATTATTTACTTCCCCATGGGTCGTATGAGCAGCGTGTTTTGGGAGCTCCCTGTCTCCTTAGGCCATGACAGCATATCCCAACTGCCTAATGGGAGAACTGCTGAAACCTGGCTCTGCAGCAGGAGGGGAAGTTAGAACCTGTGCCACCCTCCCTGTCCCACTTGCCCCATCACAGCTCAGAGCACAAGTTTGGGGACAGCATGCTGTAGATGTGCTGTGCCTGCCTTGTCCCTTGCTTCCCCTGACAATGCCACACCACCGCATTGCCTTGGCTTGACCTCTAACCTGCCCCTCCTCCCAGATTTGGCTGTGTTCTCCAGGTCACAAAGCTGGCCCTGGTCATGGTCACCAACCAGACCTGCTCTATTCTTCTTCCTTGGGTACCCTAGGACTGCCCTTTTTGGGGTGAGGGCACTGCTCCACCTTGCCATGCTGTCATCAGCCCCTTCACAGCCCACTGGTGCTGTTCCCAATGCATGTGGCCTTTAGGGGACATGAATATGTCCCGTGCTCAAGTGTCCTGCTCACCAGATACTCCTCCAGAAGCATGGATTCCCAGAGTAACACCAATGCCAAATGCCATATTGATGCTCAGATACTGACCAGTGTTTCCTTTTCCTAATACCACTTGTGCCACAGAGGACAAGCCAAAAACCTGTGTAAAAAGAAAGAGAGAAAGGAGTGTTAAAAGTATTGTTGTTGCTGTGGTAGACTGAGCTTCTTTGCTATTTTTTCTGAAATACTGATAAACTCCCAAAGACAGGAAGTCTCTAAGGTGCCTATGGTCAGAAGACAAAGAACAAGCCTCCTCTGCAAAAATTGAAGTGATGCCTGGGATATTTCCCATTGGTGCCCATCAAACCAAACCAGGCACTCTCATTATGATTGAGTGTGGAGAGACAAACCCCAGACACCCACACCAAGAGCTGGGGCTCAATGAGGATCATTCACACTGCCACAGCAGAGATGTCTGGGCCTGAAACCAGGGACATGAGGCAGGGGAGCATCACCATGGACCACTCAGAGGCAACGTCCAAGATGGATGGAAGGAGGGTGAGCAGATTCCTGTGGTCTTTCTTTTCCTGGTGCGCAATTTATTGACTAAAAATGTAGTTTGGGCAGCATACAGCTATTTGCCAAACTCGACTCTAATTTTGGTAACATTCCAGCAAAAGACAAGAAAGGAAATTCTTCTTTGACTTTTCCATTCAACACATACGACTTTCAGTTTGAAAACAGCCAAAGTTTCAATATTTTTTAAGTTACTAAAGGAGAAACAGTGAAAAAATTAGAAGTAAACACTCTCCAGCAGGAAAAGACATATTCAAGAAATTGGTCTGTCCTGAAAATGAGTTCTATGTCACTTTTTTAATATGGCAAGAGGTTGGAAAAATCAGTTCTTTGAACGGTCTTACACTGAAATCTGGAGAAGGACGAAGCTTCTTGTGAGGTTTCGGCCTCACAAACGACTTGGGCTTTGGAAGGTATATCCTGTTCCGAGGACTGTACTGATGTTTAAGCAGGATGACATGTCTTTCAAAAACAAGGAAGTCAATATGTTCTCCAGCATCTAAACCTCTGCTCTGACCTGTACTGTTTTAACTGTGATCTTTTCTGGCTACTCTGCCTGGATCCAAATTTTATCTCATGCGTCTGCTTCCCCTCGATGCTTTCACACATCACTCAAATCCTCTGTTCTCCAGGGATACTGTTTTATGTCTCTCATATACAGAGACCACACTCTGTGCTCTGCACAGAGCTGCAGCCTGCACAGTGTGAGCTCTTCTCAGATTGCCTTAGCAAAAGCCCCCAAACGCAGTTTATGATGTCCCCCAGCATCTGCAAAGTATCTGCATATTCATCTCTGAATTTTCCAAAGCCAGATCCAAGAGAAGGCAAATGCATAAGGCACAGGTTTTGCAGCAGAGCACACAGGTGCAGAGATAAGGGTACAAGGCAAGAGATATAGCTGCATGAACAGCACTATCCTGAAAAAAAATATAAGACAGGCCACAGAACATCCTGGAGATGCATCCAGCACATTCCCGTTTGCACTGAGGGCCAAGGTGCTGCTGAAGAGTTGGGTGCTGGATGGTGCTTGTCATCAGCCCTTGGTGCGAGTCCACATGCACTGCCCTTCTTTTATTCTATTCCCTCACATGCATCAGTGAGGGAAGAGCCAATGTGAGCTGCAGGCCACAAAATCTGCTTTGGACTGTCAGAGTACAGAGAAAAGTCTCTACCTCATGCTGCTTCCCAGAGACAGCCATGGCAGGACAACCCTGAATTATTCTTTGTCACCTGGGAAGTTCAATCACCCAATAATGACGGGAATGGCAAGCAATTTGCTTTTGGAAAATGGTTTGCTAAGCTGCTTCTGAGGCTTCACAGATGCCTGTACTCTGACTTACTATGGGTACAAAACTGCCTAGGAGTGAACTTCAAGGAGGTGGATGTGCAATATGATGTGATAAAAAGCCACCATCCTCTGCACGGGCAGTTGTTGCCCCTGAAAATGAGCACCTTTGTACAGTCAGCTCTGTCAAAAGGTCCCTATACTTACACAAATCTTACCTTCCTCCTGTGCAAATCTCCAAGTGCAAGTTGTTGGGGTTATGCTCAGCCTTTGCATGCCAGCCTCTGTCCAGTCCAAAGCATCTCAGCCCAGGCTAAGTCCGGGTGTAGTAAGTTGGCACAGACAGACACTGGACTTTTTCAGAGGGAGGATCTCATTATGCTGTGTTGGTCCAAAACTCACAGTCTCTGATCCCTCTGGGTACTTCACCTCCACCAGGGATCAGTTCTGACTGTAAAGCCTTCCTTGCCCTCTCCCCAAACATTAGGAAGCAGCCCAGGAGCTCAAGCCCACTTAGCTTTTTCTTTGTGAAACAGATCCCTCAGGCAAGGGGGCAGTTTATGTATGATTTGCATAAGCACTATTCAATTGGCAGCAAGAAAAGCAAAAGTGAAATCCTGGCGTGCTTCACACCTGGTAATTACATTTCCTAATGGTGGGCTGTGGCTCGGGAGAATTTCTCCGGAAGGTTCATTACCCTGGCAACACCGAGAGAGGAAGATGGATGACCGATGTTTTCATTTCACAGTAGCTGTCTGTGATAGGGGAGTCAGGGTCTGCCCCCCCAGACCTGTTCAGGACCCAACAACCACACCATTGCCTCTGTCATAGCAGGAAGAAAAGCCTCAATTCACTGTATGGGATCTTTCAGGGTGTTTGGCACAAGTGTTGCGTTACTCTGTCTGACTAGACACTGCTCTTTGATTTCATTCCCAAACTCTTCCTCAGTTTCCTCCTAGAAGAGAACTGAAACAATGACATGTCCAGAGAAGGGCAGTGGAGCTGGGGAAGAGTCTGGAGCACAAGTCTGATGAGGGATGGCTGAGGGAGGTGGAGGTGTTCAGCTGGGAGAAAAGGAGGCTCCAGGATGACCTTATTACTCTTTACAGCTACCTGAAAGGGTGGTGTAGCCAGGTGGGGGTCAGTCTCTTTCTCCCAGATAATATGTGACAGAAGAGGAAACAGCCTCAAATTGTACCAGGGGAGATTTAGATTGGATATTAGGAAAAATTTCTTCACCAGCTGGTTTGCTAAACATTGTAACAGGCTGGCCAGGGAAGTGGTGGAGGTATAGATATTAAATATATATTATAATATATCAGTATGATATATGGATATTATAATATATATAATACCCTGGAGATATTTAAAAGACATGTAGATGTGGCAGTTAGGGACATGGTTTAGTGGTGGGATTAGCAGTGCTGAGTTAATGGTTGAACTCTTAAAGGTCTTTCCCAACCTAAATGGTTCTGGGATATTATCATTCTATCCCACCTGCTTCACTGTCTCCCAGTACCCACCTCTCACTCCCACTTTACTTTTTAGCTCCAGAAGGTTTTTGGCAGACAGTCTTCCTGATGGGAAACTGCCACCCCACCATAGCAGAGTAATGAGCAATAACAACCAGCCACCGAGCAACCCCGAGGATGTGGTAGGAAACCACTGACCTTACAAATTACTGTTTTAAATGGTTACACACACACACACAGAGACACACAGAGAGACATGTCTGGACCCATCTCCTCCTTACCATGAGGATGAACGTTCCCAGTGTTTCTGCCAGCAGCTCCCTCATGGTGCTGCATTGAGTTGTGAGCGCCTTCTTGATCTTCTCAGACATTGTCCTCTCTGACCTCGGAATGTAGACACGGTGCTGCTATTGTGAAAACACACTTCATTGCACAGAGCCAAGTTACCCTTTGAAACTTGGCACCCTCTATTCAGCCCCAGACACCTTCATTCATTTGGTTAACAATGAACAAGCCAATAAAGCAGCAGCCAGCTTCAAAGTCTGCCCCCACACAAACACACATGCCATCCTTTAAAAGCTATATCATACAAATGCAATATTTCTATTACTGGGGCATTACAGACCCTGTGTCTGCCCAGGAGCAGCCTATCCTCAGAACAGTGGAGCTGTAAGTAGCTTTGTTGCGCTCTTAAGGCTGTCTTTCTCAGTAAACTTTTCTGCTGGAACTGAACAGGAATTTTGGCTCTGCTCTGCATTGTAACCCACTCACTGGTGGTTTGGTGCCATTTTTTTTAAACAGATGGGATTAGGACCATTTGCCTGTGCAGGACTATTTGGATGCCCATTCTGCAGCAAGGGTGCTCTGCCTGGCGCCAGTGTGCACTGCTGTCCTCAGCTGGGAAGAGCACAATGCATTGCTTCAGACTGAATATTTGCTCTTGTTGAATGCACCTGTGTCTGCAGCTGCCATCACACTAGTGGAGAGCCATGCCACCAGCCACCTTGTCTGTCCTTTCATGTGGGACAAGGAGAAACCAAGCTCAGAAATGGTCTCCAAAGACCTTCAATCTCATCTACCTGCCGGAGCAGAATCATTGCTGTCCTGATTCCTCCTCCATCTACTGATTCCCTCTGCTCATCTCCCTCCTCACCAGGTGCTCTTACCTTTCCACGGTGAAAACGTTTTAATACCTTTGCTTAATCATGGAAAAACTCACATCCACTGAACACTCAAGACCTTTCCATGGGAGTCTTTTCTGGTTCTTTGCTGGTTTTCTTTGCCTTCCTCTCAGCCTGCTGCAGATTCTCAGCGTGGCTCTGCAGAGGTTACCAGCAGCTGTCCCAATGGGGACATGGTGCTCTGCTCATGCTGCCCATGGTGTTGCTTCCCTCTGCTCTACTGCATGGGCAAAAGTTCATGAGCTTTCTTTCACCCACAGGACCCTCAGCAGCTGTATGGAAGAACGTGTGAAGCTGATTCTCCCCTGCTCCATAGATGATTGTCTATCTTCTGGCAGGGAGAGTTTTATGCAATGGGGTAATCCCTCCTCCAAGAGCAGATTAGCTATTGACCCCAGTGAATGTCTGGATAAATATGCAGTAAATTACTAGTCTGTCTCTGACACTAAGGATAATCTGATTATGACAGATGGTGATCATGTTGCTTGCAAGGGTGTTCCTACTGCATATTTCTAGGTGGGAAGGTTTTCTCCTATGAGTCTGTGAGCTATGCTGTGGCACAGAACAAGCACCAGATAAATCTTTCTAGGTCACTTCATTCTCTGCCATGCAACTGTTTATTGGTGGAGCACAAACGTGGGCCCTGGACCACCAGGTTGGGGTAGTGACAAGAGTGTCAGGTTTGTTTTGCACATGGTGGTTTCCAGCTGACTTTACATGTCACCTGAGATCTGCATATATTGGAGATCTCACAGCCTTTCTCGGATGAACAAGGTGTGAGTGGGTCAGTATCACCCACAACTGGACCTACAACTTTGTTTTTCACTCCTAGATCTCAGGGAGCCTTCCAAGTGGATTCTTTCCCTGTGGACTAGGAATCTGCTGTGTCGCTGATAGGCTTTGTCTCCTGCATTCAGGCTTTAACTACAGGCATCTCCATATTCTGATTTGGGCTGAAAAACAGACAGGTATTTCCTGGGAACACCAGGTTCCCATGGACTTGCAGTCTTCTCAGGGAAAAAGGCAATCTTAGTTCACAATAAAAATCTTTGGTTTGGTGATAATACTTGCAGCTTCATTCCCAACATTACCACTGAATTCCCTAAAATTTCAGCATGCTTCTAGGATGGCATCATGAATCACTAGATATATCTCTTGCCACTGCTTGTCCTTTTGTTCAAGTCATTCCACAAGATGGCACTGAAACATTAATTTCTCCCTTAAAAGTGTTCATAAGGGTTCCTCTGTTGGCTACTGAAAATGTGAGAACTGTTTAATTTTAGGGTTCCTCTAGGTATTTTTAGACATTGAAGTGATAGACGTGTTCAAGGAGAGTAACAATAACAAAACCAACACCTTTCCATAGGTCATGTAAGTCAGAGCACCTCTGTTCTGACAGCACACAAACCCAAAGTGTGTGAGCCTGCACCTGACACCTTCCACTTTACAATCAGCAGAGAAAAACAGGCAGCTCCAATGGGCAGTTCTTCCCCACCTAAAATAAGCATCTGAGGCCAGGCCTATGAGTCACACTAGATACTGGCACTTTCCCTCCAGTGTCTGCACAGGGACATGGAGTGATGGGCTCCAACATGCACACCCACATTGAGATACCTACCCCCAGGTGAGCTGGACTGCTCCTCTCCCTGCATCCAGATGTGGTGATCTTGAGCAAGTGCAAACCACGTGAGTCAGACAAGGGCTGAATTGCGAATATCTGCTGGTTGCCCAACGGTACCTGCTCGTACTTGCTCAGTTTCACTCACCCGCAGGGCTGATGGGGATCTCTGGGGTCACTAAATACATCCTTCCTGACATAGGCAGCTACACCACATCGACCCTTTGGTGACCAGGCCAGTCTCCATTTTAGGGGTAGGTGCTTTTTGCCCAACTTCTCCTGTTGGACCCTGTTACCAGAACTACCTGCTCTGGAGATTAGACACTTTCCTCTAATTTTCAGCCAGATTCTCAAAGCTGTTTGTCCATGTGCCAGCATTGCCCCATCACAGTCATGAGTTAATTTGTTTATTACAGGTGCTATCTCTTAGAGTGTTCCTATAAGGTTTGTTAGAAGAGCATTAGCTGTTTGTGCTTAGCTCCACAGTGCCTCCTGATGTTTACCTTGATTTCCTCACAGGTTGAAACTTCACTCAGCATTGGCCTTACAATGATTTTACCACATTTTCCCCCTGCACATTAAGCAGCCACCTGCTAAACCAAACCCATTTTCTTCCCTATGGCAGATGTGCTTTCAGCAGTAGTAATAAAGGTCTCAGTTTGGAGAGGAAGGTTTTGGCATAGTCAATGCCCACTAAGTGTGCTGGTGTTGATACCCATGGTACTGAAGAACAGGAGGAACAACACCCCTGGATCCTGCTAGAGCAGCCCCAGGAAGGATGACAACACAGGAACTCCAGGGCATTCTTCAAGGAATAACTTCTCTGACTCAGTTTGACAGTGCACATGCTCCTCTGCACCTAGGAGCTCATTTGTCTCTTAATTGGGCTAATCAGCAGGTGGAACATTGCCACTCCAGTTGCTGCAGCCCTGCTGGTGGAACTTTTTCCCCCCAGAGGCCTAGAGGAGCATGAGCAGAGAGCACAACAGAGGACAAGAACAGCTTGCTCCTCAATCAGACCAAATGAACATTGCACCAAGATATCTCCAGTGCCCTTTAGGAAGCAAGACCCAGTCAGAAAGATCATTACAGCACTGGTATGACCTTAGCTGTCCAGTACAGACCCCAGCTGACATACCCTGGAATACCTGCTCCCTATGGTCTCATATTTAATACTCATGGTCACTTTTTACAGATGGCAGGCACCAAGCAAGTTGCAGACACCCCTGATATTTGTCTCCCAGCAGATGGCTTTGCTCTCTGTACTGTTACACTGCTCTCCATTCCCAGGATACTACCCTCCACAGTGTTTCGGCTCATCCCACACAACATTATCCCTTGCCCTGAAGCTGACCAAAGGTTTGTCACCTGTGCATATTCGTCCATGATACCAGGCTGGCTCTTATCGTGCTGGGCAGAAATGGGAGGTGGAGGCACAAACAGAAGGAGGTTCACCGGTGGGATCCTGCTTCAGGCACAGTGCTGCCCTTCCCCAGGCTGCTACAGCTTACTCAAGCCGAGGTAATCCCCGAGGGGATAGTGTCAGCAGGAGCAGAGTTAGCCAGGGAGAGCAGAGCTCTACACGAAGGGGTTGCCAGGGGTGGCGCTGGCCCTATTGTTGAGCAACAAGAGCGGAACCCTCCTGGCCACGGGGGAACCCACCCACCCCGCATTGGGCCACACTCTCCTCCTGCCCTTGTTTGACTTATCAGACAGAATCAGATCATTTTTGTAGGCAGCAAAGCATGATGATTTTTGAGGCATCCCACCAGCTTTGATCTGTGAAAAGCCCTGAAAAATGTCACTTGTCCACAAATATTTAACAGGGAGTTAAATGGAGGCACAGGGGTAGCTCAGGTCATAGAATCATAGAATGTTAAGCATTGAAAGGGACTTTAAAGATCATCTAGTCCCAGTCACCCCAGCTACAGGCAGAGATGCCCCCCACTAGACTAGGTTCCTCAAGTCCTTATCAATCTGGCCTTTCACACTGCCAGGGTTGGGGCATCCAGAACCTCCCTGGGCAACCTATTCCAGTATATTACCACCATCATAGTAAAGTGTTTCTTCTAAACTAAATTTCCCCTTTTTCAGTTTGTACCCCTTGTCCTATCACTACAGTTGCTGACAAAAGACTCCCTCATCAGCTTCCCTGTAGGCTCCTTCAGATACTGGAAGGTTTCTATGAGGTCTCCACACAACCTTCTCCAGGCTGAACAGCCCCAACCTTCTCAGCCTTTCTTCATAGGGGAGGTGCTCCACTTCTCTTATCAACTTCTTGGCCCTCCTCTGGACTTGCTCCAACAGTTCCATGTCCTTTTTATGTTTAGGGCACCAGAACTGTATACAGTAAAGGTCCAAGAAGGTACCCATGGGATTTCCAAAAAGGTACCCGTGGGATTTCCAATAAGGTCCTGCCAGCTCCTCATTTGCCATCATCCCTCATTTCCGTGAGCATCTTGTTCTCCTGGCCTGCTCAGGGCCATGCTCCCACCATAACTCTGCGTGTGGAAACATCTTCCTTGCTGTCCTGGGGCCCCACCATGGGAGTCTCCAGACCCCAACAGAGAGCAGCAGGCCCTGTGGGTGCAAATGCTCTCATGGAGCTTTGAGCCGCCTGCTCAGGCCTGCTTTCAATCCACAGATAAAGTGAAAGCTGGGGAGACCACAGAGCTCACAGGACATCATCACCCAGGAGATAAGAGGAGCCAGGCTTTCTCCTAAAGGAGCCCAAACACTCGCACTCTGAAAGGAGAGATTAAAGGGAAAAGACTGCAGGCTGGGGGAGGAGACACCAGATCAGGTGAATGAGGTCTTGAAACTGCAGAGCATGGTGGAGCCAGCACACTGATCTGAACATTTCCCTGCCTCTGACTGTACAATAGAGACAGCACAGCATGGCTGTGTCCCACCCTCAGGATGCAAGGAGTTCAGCCTTACAGACAAACCCCTTGTACTTCATCTCACACTGTCTCCTCTGCCTCATCCCTTCCCAGGCACTCCAGTCCAGGATGGTCTGCAGCACCAGAAAGGCACAAGCTTGTGTTGACACTCACAAAGAGTAAAACCAGAGCGGGGCCTGATGACAGGCTCACAGCAGGCTCACAGCCGTGCCTGCTCCCTCTGCTGCTGAGCAAGCAGAGCAAGGCTGAACCAGTAGTACTTCACACAGTCCTTCACAGCCACCAGGTGTTTAAAGCTATACTGCATCCATACATTCCACTCATATAAGCTACACTTGTAAACCCTTCAAGAGATGATGTCAAACCCATAGGGACACCATAGAATCACAGAGTCGTAGAATTTGGGAGGCTGAAGAGACCTTAATGATCATCCCATTTCAACCCCCCTGCTATGGGCAGGGACACCTTACACTAGACCAGGTTGGTCAAGGCCCCACCAACCTGGCCGTGAACACTTCCAGAGATGGGGTATCCACAGCTTCTCTGGACAACCTGTGCCAGTGCCTCACCACCCTCACAGAATTTCTTCTATTATCTAATCTAAACCTGCCCTCCTTCAGTTTAAAGCACTTGTTCCATCAGACCCTGTAGGCCCTTGTAAAAAGTCCATCTGTGATGCAGATGTTTTGTGGGGTGAGGAACCAGCTGGTGACACTAATTGTTGCCCATATGTACAATCAGTGAATTACCCACCACCCAGCTCTCAGCCACACAGCCGTGTTCTCACATATTGCACCTGCCATGGGGTGTCCAAAGACAGTAGAGCTGCTGGCATGACTTGCACCACCAGTGCCTGCCACGGGATTTGCCTCTCCACAGGGGAGGGAAAGGCCAGGATGGAGGCAGCTGGGTTGGTTTTCTCAGCACCAGCCCACCTCAGCCCAGAGGGCCGCTGTTGGTCTGGACGTGAAGGCATCCAAAGGAAAACCCGATAAGCTCCCACTATCGCAGCTCAGAGGAGATGCCACAGATTCCTTGCAGGCGTGCACACAAATTCCCTTGGACACTGCTCAACATCTCCTGGCACTCCAGGGAGCCCCACAGACATTTCAGTGGGGGTAGAGGTTTCCTCCAGCATCAGCCAGACCTCGTCACCCTCATGATCCCCCAGCCATTTTTGGCTCTTGTGCTCTTTAGAGACACAGGAAAGAGGAACGAAGTGTGGATCTAGGTGGCTCCATGGTCATTCTCATCCTGTCAGTTCCTGTGTGTAAAGCCATTGAACCAGAGAAACTCACAGAAGCTGAAAATTCCTCCATTGATGTATCCTGAGCAAGAGTCAGTTTTCCTAGCCCATGTAGTTTTCCAGCACAAGTCCTGCATGGCACAAGTGGCAGCTTCACAAATTGTTCCAAATTAAGCAGAGCACTGACATACAGTCTGTTTCCCTAAGCACAGGGCACCACATATCAGTCATTA